AACTTCTTAGAATTAAAAGAATCTATAATAATATAAACACCTCCAAGAAGAAGTACTCTACTTTGTTACTATCTTACAGAGCAACTTTATTCCAAAAACAGTCATTAAAAATTCATTAAAAAAAGCTGGCATTTACCTATTCTTTTAGATTTTTTTAGTTAGATAATGAAATTTTTTACTTAAATCCCTTTGGTAAGGTTTCGAACGGATGGCTAATTAAAATGATCTAATGTTGAAATGTAAAATTTATTCCTCTCACAACTTCAATTTTACTCTACAAATTTAGATCAGTACTTTAAATTCTATTCTTGAATAGATGTTTAAGCTTTTTCTGGCCATATCTATCCTGTTATTGATTTTATGAGCCCTTTTTCGTTTCATGAAGCTTGATAACCCTCTAGCTTGAAGAATTCTGACTTTAATTAACAATTTACTGTATTTTTCCAATTTCTACTTGCTTTTTTGGCCAATTTTTCACATTTTGTAGAATTAGCCATTTTGCCTTTCACCTCATCCCAACTTAAAACTACGTCGAGCAAGACGCCATCTTGAACAAATTTCTTCCTTCTTCAACAGATTATCACCCTCACACTGAGTCAGGTTGACCCAACTGTCTATCACTTTTCGTTGGCTCTTTATTCACGACGTTTCTTCCTCTTTTACGTCATTCTGCCTCGTTGGTTGGCTACTTTTTTATCTTTTCTGGAGGCAATCGTCCATTTGTGTAAACTTGGCTCTCCACAGTCGATGTCGCCGATCAAGGTCTGTTTTTTTTTTTTTTTTTTAATTTCCTTTCCTTTGTTTTAATATTTGGTCATAGCAAGACCCAATTTTATTCGCTTTTTATTTTTATTTTAATTTTTAGTTTTTTTCCTTCGTTTGCAAAGTTTAAACTCTTTAAGCTAGTGGATCCTCCCTAAAAATCTTGTATTTTTGACTAATAGCAATTCGCTATTTATTTTATTTTGTACATTTGCCTAACCAGGCCAGTTTATATAGTTTTTCTTACGCCATTAATGTGTTTTTCATTTACTTTTACAAGCGGACGCGTCGGGAAATGAAACACAGAAATTGAGACTAAAGTTTTTATCTAGGTTATTTTATCAGTTTAATATTCAAAAAGTGTCGTGTATAGTTTTAATTTTCTGTTTTCACGAAACGCAATATGGAATTAGCTGGATTCGAAAACCATTATGTATTTTCCCTGAAGCGTCAATAATGAGATTCGAATTGTGCTGATTTACCATTTACCGCTTTTTTGTTATTTTCGTATTTTTGCTTATGTCTTATATAACAATTGTAGTTTTATTCAAATGTTTAAAGCTTGTCTTAACTTTAATCAACATATTACTTCCAATTTCATTTGAGTTTTTAATACGGTTTTTATTTGTAAGTATTCTAGTGATAATTTCGTTATTTTTTGTATTACAACCGTTCTTGCACTTTATTTTAATTATGCTAAAAATTTTTTTTCAAACCGGAATACACCGTATCACAACGACTTTTTAAGCGGAAGCATTAAGAATTTTCTTTTTACCTTGGTTTTAATTTTGCAGCTCAATGCGCAAAATTCTTGACCACAAAGGTTTTTTTTAGTTTGTTCTCCTTTCTTAAATTATATATATTATTTTTGATTATGTTACTGTATTTTTCAGTAAATATTGACAGTACTGACATTAGCTCAATATCAGTTACTTCAAATTATTTTGCTCTTGATTTTACTGTACTTTAATTGTTCTGTACTAGTCAATATATTTCTGTAGTAAAATTCTCTTTTAATTTGTATTTATGTAGCAAGGCCTGGCGAACCTGTCACTATGAAAACAAAATAAAAATACGAAAGCTTTCAGATGTTATATTACGCCCTAATGGTCTTTTTTTTTTTTTTTTTTTTTTTTTTTTTTTTCATTTGCCGACACAGCTATTTGTTGGAGTTGGTGGCATATTTTTTTTTGCAGACACATGCATATTTCGAGAGCATTTGGGCATAATTTTTTTTTTTTCACCCTTTCCTCAGTTCATCATATCAAAGTTCAGTTTTCTTCTTAGTAAGATGGCTAGCAAATATCTTTTTTTATTATTAACGTTTTGTGTGTTAAATTTATTAATTAAATATCATATTCTTCACACTTACACATTATATAAAATTCAGTAGAATAGCAAAATCACAAAAGATTTAAAAACAGCATATCTTTAGAATTTCTGCATACTAAAGATAAAAATGTTTTATTCCGTACAGCTTTGCCACTGCTTGCTTTCAAATCGTTGAGTTTGCTAATCAGAATTTCATTAAAGTTTTACAAAATATGAAGTAGACAACAAAACAAATTGGGGCTTCTAGTTACACATGTTCATGTGGAGGACTATGTTATTCAAAACTGGATGGCTCTGGGTACCTTCATTTTTTCACAATGTGAGAAACTCACATACATTTATGCAGATTTTTCCTTATTTAATTTCTTTAAATGTAATATAGAACGATAATACTTGGTGGCAACAATTTTGGGCTAACGTTCCTTTGGGTTAAAAACACACACACACACACACACAAAAAAAAAACAAAAAAAAAAAAAAAAACCTACAAAGGTGATTAAAGCGATATTATCACAAGATGTAAGAACGAGCGTATGAACCAAACATAATACTGAAACATTTCCGAACTAATTGTTAGCACGAGTTTGGTTAAACGACACAATTAAATGCGTTTTTGTTCAAATCATTCAGATTAAAAAGTAGTAAAATGGGTATTATTAAAAACTGCGTTTTATTTTTTTATTTTTATTTTTTTTTATTTTCAAAATGCTTAGCTTATTAATCAGCAACAAACATATAAAATTTAAAAATTAAATTCAAATAAATAAATTAATATAACTATAAACAAATAAGCTGATTAATTAAACATTCAAATCTTACGTTCTGTCGAATGGAAGTTAAAAGCATTTTATTTCCGGCAACACATTGCTTTTAAATAGCTGAGTTAGTTAATTAAATATGAAAGACAAATCTCTTACACTTTGCGGAATGGCAACACACTGGCGCGCGGAAGATAAAAATTTTATTTCGAGCAACGGCAATATATATATATTTTTTTAAATGGCTGCGTTTGTTATGAAATGAATAATAGAAAGTTAAAAATTCGGTATTCTATGTACACGCGTTCAGGTCAAGGTCCACGTGTGTTTAAAGTGTTGCGGCTTTAGGCGTCATTATTTTTCTATAGTGCGAGAACCAATCATACAAACATACGTACTTAAAATACATACATCTGTACAGATTATTAATTATGTAATACTAGAGATGTAGCATTAACCAGCAAAAGGCATTTTAATATTACTGATATCATGTTTTAAAGGATTTGCGCATCTTAAATGCTTTATTGTTTTTGTGATATATGCAAAATTATTTGGTTTGTCAACAGATCGAAAACTCCATACATATAGTTCAAATTTCGATACTGTAATTTTAACTTCGTTAATTGTGTTTGAATTACTGATTAGATTTCTATAATTCTTATCTGATGTATTAAAAGAGTATACAGAAAGTCTACCAAAATTTTGTAAAAATTGGTGCCGTTTATAGCTGAGTAGCATTTTTTTTTTTTACCGAAAGGAGACGTTAGTCCAGAAGGGCTTAGTCTCGAAACAGCATTTTGCGTCGATTCACTATAAACGGTGTATCACTTTTTAAATTGTTGCCACCAAATATTATTTCCCTGTTTTGTATTTAAAGAAAGTAAATAATGAAGAGAGAATATGCATGAATGCAAGTATGTTTCTCGTACAGTGAAAAAACGACGGTACCTAGAGCCATTAAATTTTGAATAACGTAATCCTCTACCCGAACTTGGGCACCTGAAAGCTCGAATTTTTAATTGTTATTATTATCTATTTCATGTCTTGTGAAACTTTAACGAATTTTTTATTAACAAACTCAAAGATTTCAAAGCAAGCAATGGCAACAGTGTAGCGATAAAAATCATTTTTAGCTCTAGCGCACGAGACTGTCTGTCGGAAATTCTAAAGACATGCTGTTTTTAAACGTTTTGTAATATTGCTGTTGATATGAACTTTATGTGGTTTAAGTGCGAAGCAGATGATATTCAATAGATAAAAGTAACGCACTAAACGTTATAAAAAAAAAAAAAAAAAAAAACCGCCCTTTTGAAGCATAATATAAAATCTGAATGCTTTCAGTTTTTTTTTCCCCCTCTAGTTTTTAATTTTTATCAAAACGAAAATCACTGCTAATTCCTAACTGAATTTGCTACTAATGGGTAAAAAAAAAAAAAAAGGAACTACAGCATTTCGCCTAACTTTGATTTTTAGTGCGATAGCATCTAAATATATATATATATTACTCGCTTAATGTTCGTTCGAAAATTTTCATTAAAATTTTGTGTGAATGTCGAATAAATCTCGAATGATATTATTTTTAATTATGGAATTGGAATATCTAATACCCCTCGCCCCCTAAATTATGAATCTTAAAAGAAGGTCATTTTTTATTAATTATTAACTATTATACTTAACTAAAAAATTCATTGCTTCACAGATATTTTGATACTTTCGTCTGTATACTGCTTACAGGAGATATTTTGCTTCCCAGAATGAAAATAAAATTCCTTTTTTTTTTTTTTTATATATATATATTACCTAACTTGTAGGGAATTCCTGGAGAAAACGGACTAAGGTCTTATCTTTTTGCGCCAGCGCAAGGCAGATTAAAAAGAAAATCGCTTCCTATCGTAATCACCTGATTGGAGCCCTCAGTTATTTCGTCTCCACCTCAACATACTCTTCACTAATGAACACGTTGAGAGGCGTGGTTCGTAGCCTGACGTCATGAGTCGTCAGAGGAGGTGTATCCCTAGGGAGAAACAACTTCAGGAACTGCTCAGCGTTTGCTATAACAATGATATTTACTCACAGCTGCTGCAGAGTTTTAGTTTGAACTGTTCGTGGTGTGTGTGCGGATTTCGTTGACACGAATAGCACTGGATGTGTACAAGACCAACATAGATGATAAAGTCATGTTTGGACTGTGCGACTTTTCGACGTTATGAAAGACTTAGTTTTGCCTTTTTTGTTTTTCATTACGAGAAGGTAGGAAAAGATATCAAGAATAAAGTGATTTGAGTGGAGAAGAAAACAATACTATTTTCTTTGTTGCGTTTTTCAAGGACAAAAAGCAAATAATAGACTATTCCCAAACTGCATTTAATAATACATATTAAAGCAGTGAAATATTTATTATTAGTTCAAGGGAATTCAAGCAGCTAGATCTTTTGTACGGAATTTTCGGATATTCAACTTTTGGGTTTTTAACCCCGTCCGAATTTTTTTTTTTTTTTTTTTTTTTTTTTTTTTTAGTGCAACGAATTGTTTTGAAAGCAAGAAAAGTAAACTTTAATGATAGCGCACAAAAATTTTCAAGAGTGTTCTACCACAATGCCCACTGGCAGTTACATGAATTCGTCTACCATGCCTGTTTCCATGAATTATTCGACTCAGGCATTTACCACTGGTTTCTTGTCTCATCAAGCAATGGGGGCTGTTGCACCCTCTTGCATGTCACAACCTATACCTCCCATGGGCAGCATAACGCCTTTGAATCAAACCAATATGAACTGCATTAATGTTCAACAATTCGGAAACGTAGATTACAACAACAGTATACCAGCCGAAGAAGATGCAGTCGTACAGATGGTAAGGAATGATAAGTTTCGCCGTACGTATCCACATTCTAAACCTCCTTACTCCTATATATCTCTCATCACCATGGCCATCTCGAGCAGCACCTCTAAGATGCTGACACTGAGTGAGATTTATCAGTTCATCATGGACAGGTTTCCTTATTATAGACAAAATCAGCAGAGATGGCAAAATTCTATTCGCCACAGTCTTAGCTTCAACGACTGCTTTGTCAAGGTGGCTCGAACACCTGACAAACCAGGAAAGGGCAGCTTCTGGGCCCTCCATCCAGATTCCGGCAACATGTTCGAGAATGGTTGCTTCCTGAGGCGGCAAAAGCGATTCAAGTGTAGTAAGAAAGAAGCACTTCGCCAGACTCAGAAAGACCAAAAGAGTTCAGGTGACCTTTCTCAAGTAAAAAGCTCACCAGACACCCATATCTCTCCCTCCAAAATGGACAAGCAACTTTCAGCTAAAGTAGATGTCCTTTCATCCCCATTAACGTCATCCAACCATCTTCAAATTCATACTCCGAACGATTCTCATCAACAGTTGTGCCATTCCTCTTCAAACAATATTGCCAGCATAGCAGACAACCAAAGGAATCGTTTGGATTGTTGCAAGCAGGAAGAACTTCTGTACCCATCCTTTAGGTATTCTGACTCTTGTATCATGTCCAGCGCCCCTTTCGATTCCACCAGTCACCAAGACATCCTGAGAACATTCAGTGATGCTTTTTCTTATCCCTCCATGAAGACCGATGTCGGTTTCAACGTCAGCAATCTTCCCTTTTCCATTAACAATATAATATCTCATTCTGATACCAAAATGGACATGAAACCGTATGATATACCAGCTCCTCCTTACAACAGTTACAGTTCAAATTTACCTACAAGTGAGACTATGTCCTATCTCCACCCTCCATCCTTCTATAGTATGCCACAACCCATGACATCAACGATGTGAATTTTTACATTATTTTTCAGTACGACAACTTAGTTTTCTGCTCTTATATGCTCTGATTGTCAGCAGCGCTAAAAGTTTATCTACTATTGAATTTATTAGACTGTGTGAAAGATACTAAAGCTTATTTCAAATCCTTCATCATTATGAATGCTCGAAACTGGTAGTAATATTTATATGTGCTGTTTGAAAATACTAATGTGAACTTTCTTTGAGCTACATTAGTGGACACGTTTTAAGAAAGACTGTTAAATACAGATTTTTTAAAGAATATTTTATTAAAGACAACATTTCTGCTCTACCGTTTTCGTGAATCGGGTTCTGAGAGGTAAACTGTTAATAACATCTGTGATACACTTGTTTCGTACTGTGGTATCTGTGATAGACTGCTGTAAAACTGGACTTGTACACTAAGCTGTATTTTATGTAAATATTCCAAGCATGTATTGATTGTTGGACATTCAAATGAGGTGAAGTAAGTAATATGGATGAAATAAGTAATTAATAACTTTCCTTGGAAAGTTTGGAAAACAATTTGTGTATCTGTAAATATTTATTAATTGTTTGCTTCGTCATTTTAAACCCATTTTAAAAGACAAAATCTTTTCCTCCCCTTTTAATGAATGATAAATATTGCTTTCTGTTTTAAAATGTCAATCAAAATCATATTGCTTTTACATGCAAAAAATATCTAAAGATTACTAAAAGAGGTAAAATTAATTATTACTTTAAAACAGTGAATGCAAAAGTTATTATTCTTGTGATTTAAAAACAATTTTGAACTTAAAAAATTCATTAAAGTTTTTTTTTTTTAATGATGATTGTTTCTGATTTGTTTTCTGGGAATCATTGTACAAATTGCGTAATATTTCTGTTTTAAGTTTGTATATTATTTCTTGTGCAGATTGCATAATTTTATTTTTTAATAGAAAATAGTTTTATTGTAGATTTAATCAAATATTAGTAATGTGTTATTAAGAATATGTGGCAAAATGGTATTTAGTAGGTGATTTAATAAAACACGCCAAATAGAATGTAGTATATAGTTAGAAAATATTCAGAAAATTGAGGGCTATTTTAAACAAAGTGTTTTTGTTAAGTGTTAATTATTTTAACATATTCCCGCAAATATTGCACTAGTATTATTATCATTCTTTTTTTAGCTACAAAACACAACAAATTATAAAGTTTACATATGTGTTAGAACACCGTTATTTCAGAAATCTTTAGCAGTATTGATTATTTTGTGCTTAATAAGATGTAAATTTTTGTTTAAAATTTGAAAACATTTATGTGAATCATTTTGTTGCTTACTATACGGTAAAAACGTAAAATTATTATAAAATGTTTTAAAATTTAACAGGTGGTTACGCGTATAAGAGGTTCCGCTCAAAAATTAGCATCGATAAGCAACGAATTTTATCGTTAATTGGAATTTTGTTGGAGGTTCGTTTAGCTTCATCAAAACGTTGCTGTTAGTTCTGGCAAAATTGCACTGAGCTCTAACGAGCTACTGTCAACGATTATTCTTTGCTTACTGGTGCAAATTTTACAGTAAACTTCTTCGTTTATCTGTTATTAAACTGTACAAAGTTATTCTTCTTATATAGCTTCTGGTAATTTTACTCAAACTTCATATTTCATATCATAAATTTTATAGACCTGACTTCGAAGTCGTTTTCATGGTTTTCCCTATGTGTAATGTGTATACGAGCCAGTTTCCATTAGAAAGTTCTACACGAAGGCAATCCTTCCCATGGCATATAGCCCTAGTGTGCTTTGCCGTAGTAAATTAAACCAACCATAAATTTTATAGCTCACGTTTTACTTAGATTAATTATTATAATTTCACACATGCATTATTCCCAAATTCAAATTTTAATATCAGAGTGAAATAGGTAATAAAAATGAATGATTGCTGTTCGTTTTTATTACCTAGTTATGTCTATTAAACGGTAGTTACTGTTCTTTTCCGCTAAGACAGGTAAAAATGTCATCGTTAAAGTCTGGTAGAAAAATGTGTTAAGAATTCCTGTAAAAAATAGGATTTTTTTAACATTTATTTCTATAAATGGGAATTTTATTGTTTAATTTGTTTAAGAATAAAAAACATCCAATATTCAGAGTGTATAAAGAGAATATCAAACTTGAATTACTCTGAAGTTTTCGAAAACAAAAACTACGGTAATTAATACCATTATATATTAACCTGTCTTATATATAATCAACCCTCTAAGTTGATTAAAAATTATCATATTAGGTGAAATAAATTTCAAATAGAATTACAAAAAATAAGGAAATTTTTATTAAAAATAAAATTTAAGCTAGAGAAAGAAACATTTTTTGTTCTTATTTTTACTTTTATGCGTGCAGACTGAGAAAATATTTCTCCCACTTGTGTGTAATATTAAAATTTCCATTTTTATTTTACCCTTAGGTCAAATATAAATTCCTAATGCAGATGAACTTCGATAATATACCATTATTGGGAGTAATTAAGAAATGACAGACGTATTGGAATTTTGAAAGGAATAACTTCCTAAAACTGAGTTTAAAAAGTAAAATTAAACAGACTTTCCTGTTTTCATTAAGCTTAAGATTTAATTTTCCTGAGAAAAACCAAAGAAATATTTTATATACCACGGCATATTTTTTTTATTTAATTTTAATTATCGATATGAGTTTGCTTACAGGAATTACTTCGAGAAGTTTCCGGAAATTGCAGCATTCTATATTTTTGCTTGTTTAAACTCTGGAATTTGCGATTCTGAGTTTTATAGACATCTGATACGTGGCACTTTTGCAAGTTAATATTCCATATACATGAATATATCACGCGATTAATTTACTGTTTTTAGTCTTCTTTACATATTTTACTAAATCTTTTCAGCAACAACAATAATATTTGAAGAGTTTTATTTTTATATATATATATTTCTTGCCTTAAAAGAGAGTAACCTTTTTTTAACAATAGTTTTTCATTACTATTTGTATTCTGCATTTTTTCTTTTAATATCCCTGTTGTTATCGTTAAAGTTAAATTTTTAAATGTTTTTTAACCTTTACATGAAGGAAACAAATGTCAGAGCAAAATTTGAAAATGTAATACTACATTAAAAAATATAACGTATCTTTATCTTAGCGCATTCACAGTCAAGAGAAAGAAAAAAACCAATTTGTTCGTTAAACTTTACAACGCTGAGCCTAATATTTCTAAACCTACCTGTAAATCTATTCAGAATATTTCAAATAAACAAAAAAACAAAAAAAACAAAAAAAAAAGTCTGGACGATAATGTTACTGAATTCCGAGAAAAAGCAACATTTCAAGAAAAATAACTACGGGCTTCTTTATAATATACTTCTTTATAATGCAACTTTCTATTTTACAAAGCAAGTGATTTGACAATGAAAGAAATGAGTAACGTATTTAAAGTAGTTAGGCTGTTTCCCTAGTGAATTGTAACACGAAACTGAAGTGAGTTTTTATATGGGTGAGTAATTTAGATATTTTGGGTTTTTGGAAAGGTGACATCACGAATGCAGTTATGTGTTGTTTTGCAGGTAACGTCTTAAAGGGGTTTCAGTGTATGTTACTTTTAAGCTTCTGTTCATACCTTGTATTCATCAAACACAAAATATTCACTTCATCATGGTGAAGTGAATGTTTTGTGTTTGATGAATACCTTATAACAGTAATAATGAAGAAAATGAAAATTGCAAATTTACACTTGATCTTAACTTACCATGCAGTTAAACCATTAGCAGCAATTTTAAGCATGAAAGTATGGATTCTCGTTAATATTTTAATACGAATCGTTTATTTTGCAATGAAACTCAAAATTAAATAACAAGTATAACAGGGGAGAAGCGATTAATGCAGTTTTTTTATTATTATTTTATATTTTGTTGCAATTCATTGTTCCTATGCCGCTTGTTTCACAATAATCTCAACATCAAGAAGACATCAGGTATAGTGTCTTCGGACTGTTAAATATGCAAACGGCTGTTTTGATGGTGTATAGAGGATATAAAGGAATTCAGTACAATATTGCAGCAAGTTTTCTTACAAAACGAAAGGGCTATCAGCGGCCGAGCGGCAAAGTCGTTGAACACTGGTAGTTCAATCCGGGGCTCGAATCCAGGGCTGTGAAAGGGCTCGCTGCATGGACATTTTTGTAATTTTCCACGTATTAAGCAACTCTTCAAGGGCCCCGTAACCGTGCCCATGTTGTGAACTACCCCCCTTTTTTTAGAAATGGAACATTAAATTTGCCGTCTCCACGGAGTTGTGTTACTGTAGAATGGCCCGCTCTGGCATCTCCCTCCTCGGTTGGCACTCAATTCCGTATGGGTATACCCAGATATATCCGGGGCGGAAGCCAGCTCTGCGGTTTAAACATGTGGATACGAGCCAGTATCTCTTTGAAAATCCTCCACAAAGGTATTCCTTCCCTTACGCAGGTAGCGCTTCACGAAAACCAAATTAAATTTTGCAAAATGAAAATATTTTTAGTTCAAAGGGCTTTGTCCCTGAAGGACTATTGTTTTCGTTTTGCGATTTTGCATTGCATCACTATAAATGTCCGTTTCACTTTTCAAACTGTTGCCACCAAATGTTAGAGTCCTGCATTATATTTGAAGAAATTAAATAATGAAAATTCTGCATAAATGTATGTATATTTCTCGCATTGTGATAAAACAACGGTACATACAGCCATCGAATTTTGCATGACGTAATCCTACTGCGAATATGAGCATGTGGAAGCCCAAATTTGGAATTTGTTTTATTATCGATTTCATATTTTGTAAAACTTTAACGAATTTTTGACTAACAAACTCCACGATTTGAAAATGAGCAATGGCAACACTCTACAGGCGGGGGACTTTTTGTCTTACAAGTAATCGATTGATGGATCGATTAATGAATCGTCCGAAAACTTTTCTTGGACAGTATCTAAGCTTCACTGATAGAATTGAATCATTGAATTTTTCTGACACTTTTGGTCTCAATATATTTTTCATAACCTGATAAATAATTTTTAATTGAATAATAATTGCGTAAAATCCTAATCGAAGACAGCTAAAAAAATTTTTAAAAAGTGAAACAAAACTAAAATTGTTTAATTAGAAGAAACAGAAATTTCGTTTTCTTTATTTCAAAAATGAAAATCTTTCGAAGTTTATAGGATGATTTGTTAAAAATTTAAATATCAGTAATCCTATTGCCAAGGTAAATTGTAAGTTCTGGTAAAAAATAAATTGACTGAAGAATACATTCTGCTTTATTCTGCTGAAATTTTGACAATATTTCAGGAAATAGCTTTATTATTATTATAATTATTAGAAGCTCTTAAGTTGTTTGGAGTAAAGTAGTTTGAGCCTCAACCATTTTAGGTTTTGTTTCAACTGTCTTGTAGCTTATCTCCTGTGATTCAATATTCGGAGAGAACGTATTTAGCGATGGTTATTTTCCATTTCATCTTGTAGGCAAAATTGTATTGATGCCCTTATGGTTATCTCTCATCATCTCTCATTGGTAGCCTATCTGATGAAATCTTTCCCGATATTTCCCTCATAAGTAATCCCTACTAATGGAAGGCTAATCTTTCCCGATTAGTCCTCTTTTCAATGCATCAGTGTCGCTTTTCGAAGTCGATGCTAAGAGAATCATTTCTCGAAACGGAGAACATTAAGTTATAAATACTCAGTG